ACATGGTGTCAAAACCAGTTTTGTTAAAGAGAAGTTTAAATAAACTTGATTAGGTCTGAATGTGAGATACCCTCACTGTTAGCCTTCACTTTAGCTAAATAAAAATATCTTTGGAATTGCTAAATGGTTAACACAACTTGGCACACGGACTCTGGGAGGCCAAGGTTTCAGACAGATATGAAGATAGATGGCCTCAAGCCATGTGGATGATATGAACTGAAGTGGCATGTATAGTGGCTGGGTAGGATTGGAGGGCATGAGTTGAGCTGTACTGATAGCACCATCTGCTGGCGTGAGAATGGAATATCATTGTTAAACTACTGAGCTATTTCCTGACCTTCCTAGCTAAAGGAATCAGTCTGCTGTGGAAGCTGCACTATGATGAAAAGCAGATCATGGGAGTTCAAGGGAAATCTTATAGCTTGAGATATTTAGGTGACAGTGTTCCATGAAGGCTAGCCTTAGATCAGACAATTGCTCTGGTGAACCCAATTCCTCCTCTCCTTATCAATATAATTAAAGTAATGAAGGGATGGTTAACATCAAAGCCTTTATTTAATAGGGAACATATGTTATGTCACTTTAGCCAAGGTGAAAAGATTTGGTGTAATCTGAAGGGGTGGATGGTGGGACAGAGGTGCACACAATAATGTTTTAAAAGTCAAATTTGAATTAATGTAGATTGAAAAGAAAATATGACGTGTGTGTGTGTGTGTATATATATATATATATATGTGCGTGTATATAAAATACACACACCTCTATACATTACAATTTAATACATACTTTTTCAGTTTAAAAAATTGCCTTGTGCCTCCCCCCACAAAAATGGCACCAAACCAATTCACTTTGGCTAAAGTTAAAGTTATAGAAAGGATATGTTCCTTTTTAAAAATAAGGGTGTTGATCTCTTGCAATTCTTTAACTGTATTGATGGTGTGGGTGAGGGGAATGGATGGATGGATATGAGCTGACAAATTCAAACAAATTATATTCTTTTTTATTATATGTAAATTGGGGGGACTTTATATTGTTTACAAAAATTGCTCTTTTTTTCAAAAAGTTACATTTTCTGTAAGTGAATGTGTAGTGCTCATGAAAATGAGGAACTGCTAGCCCTGGACTGGATCGAATTAAACAAATAGATAGTGTATGAGATCTTGCAAATGCACCTCAGTCTTGGCCTGGCTGCTTTTCTAATCTAGTCCTGGTCTCTTCCATAGACGATGCCAGCAGTAGAATGTATTTGGGGAATTACCTTGCTTCATAGCATAGTCTTCCTGGTTGGTGTTTTTTTTATTTGACCTTTTCTCTCTGTGTATTTGCTTGTAATGCTTCCCTCCCATCCCCCACTCCCTCAAATTCAGATTACACATGTAATAAAAAGGGCAGAAAGGCTAGTGCACCTAAGCCACTGTCACCTTGTACATATGTCCTCAGAATATTTTCTAATGCCTCTTCTGCTTGTCCCATCCCCTGTTTAAGAACATTCTAATAAATATCCCATTGATCTCATTACTTACCCAATTTGTACTTTGTTTTATTCCTTATTCAAGAATTTAAAATTAAACTAGCATTAACCTGTTAAAACCGAAAATGAAGGGCCCTATTTCCTGGGAATTTATCAGTGTTTATTACTACAACAACAAAAATAGGTGAAAATCAGTGGGAAAAGCTATTAATCATTTTTCTGGGTAAATATCAGGGGTTATTTTGGTGGACGGAAGGAGAGGGGAAAAAAGTATTCAGTAGATTAATGGTTTGATGAACGAATTCAATATGATTTGCTACAGAACTAAAACAGCACTCAAAACACGATGTCACCTCTGAGTTTAAGAAAACAATATATCTCTAATCTGAAAATAAAACTTTTCATTTCAATAAACAGTTTACTGTTGTAGACTTAGAGCTATTAGTCTTTAAATATTTACATTTAATAATTGGGCCACACCATTTGCAGTGCAAATACTCAACTTCATCCCTTTTCTCCTGTTTTTGTTTGTTTTAAAACTTTTGAATATTTCCTTGTGTTCTGAATCTGACACAGATTTTCATTTTCTTCCCATTTTAGTGTGTCAGATCTTTAAACCATTATCTTCCAACAGCTTGAAATGTGTGTATGGTGGGCGTGAGATTCATCAGTACGTTCAGATGTGCACACACTTCAGAGCTTGCGTGCATGCCTGTTTATTGTGTGTATCTTCTAGACTAATACATAGCCTTACTTCAACAAACAGCTTTTCATATACACACACCGACTAATGTATTCTTGTAAAATAGATATATATCATGCACTATATTCTATTTTTGTAATAGAACAAGTTATTTTTTATACATTTGAATGATACAAAGGTAGGGTGAACATCAGGAAAAAAACCAAATAATACTTTTTTGTAAAACCCGGGATTTTTTAGTTTAAAAATCAGTTTAAACTGAAAACAAAAGAGCTTATCTGTTAAGTATTCATACTTGTGTAGCAGTATTATAGCTATAAGCTAGATAGGATCTAAGATGTCAGTGTGGACATTAATACTTAAGCTGGTCTGACATTCCATCCAGTAACGGAGGGTACTGCTACTCATACAGAAAGAGAGTTACACAAACAGTGTGTTATACATTGGAGTGATTATCTGCTCATTTAAAGAATATTTACTACTGTTGAAGAGGATACTAGTTAGAAGAAGACACTGTAATGCACATGTTAAAACTGGCCCATTAAAAATAATAGGTGAAATTGTAAGGGGCAAAACTCCCATTGATTTTGGATGGGCAGTTTTTCACCCAGTATTAAAATGTAATATCTGAGTTGTTATCGTTGTTGAGTTCTGGCAGTCTCCCACATCATAATGGCCTTTGCAAGAACTAATGGGCAAAATTCCCATTGACATCAGTGGGGCCAGGATTTCACTGCATGTTTTGAACAGGGTTTAGTGTCCACTTAAAATATCTTGGGAGATATTTCCATAGCTCTACTGTTGGGCTGTGTTCTGTTTTGTTACCAGATACTGAAGCAGGTTTTAATGACTTACATGCTTTTCCTTTTTACCTGCCTTTGAATATGGTTTGGGATATGCTTATTGTTTAAGTTTTGTAAAGAGAATATGCCTTTTTATAAGGTAGTATCCCTCTGTGCTTAAATCCCAACATAATCCTCTTACTGAAGCTTTTTGATTCTAAGAGGTAACAATAAATCTGACCTTAAGCGTTGTTCAGTTATTTATATATTTGTTTACTGAAAAACAGGTCATTTTTCTGATATTCCTTAGTTCTAGTGTCTTGAGTCACCATCTGTTCCTTCCATTGATGTAGCCAACCCTGCTTTCAAACACTACTGTTGAAATGCTCCTGTTACAAAAGTAGTATCACCAACCTCAAGGGCTCAGAATTTATGAACTGGGCTTACACATCACAAAATCGAAAAATATTGAGGCTTTTTATTTGCTTCTGACTTTTCAAGCTTTTCTGCACCACCATGAGAGCTAGAATTGTTTTTAAACTGAGATACTCATGCAATCTCATGATTCCAGCAAGCTGAGGCTTTAAGAAGAACACCAAATATTGTGAGACTTCTGAAACATCACAAAAGTTTGGAACACTGGAACAGTAGCCACATTTTACTTTGAGTGAGAGGAGATGAGGAGTTTAACAAACACATACTCTATGAAGGGGATAAAATCTTTAGTTTTAGTTTTAACACTTAAATTAAGATACTACAAAAAACTTATTTGGTGGAAATTAAGTGGTTATCAGCTGTGTTGAGCAAAAAATATTTGTAGGTGCTAGCATCAATGAGTAGTGAGCCTTAAGTAAGCCTTGTCTGCACCAGACTTTTTTCCTTTAAATTTACCATTAATGGTAGCAATGATTGGAATTTTAATTGTACATACACAGACCAAGAAGCTCTAAAAATTGGTGAGAGAAAACGTAGCAGTCAGCCTATGCTGTACTGTATACTGTGTAAATATTTTTGAATAATGTCATTCAATAAATTTGCAATAATTACTTGTATTATATGGAGTTTGGAAGTTAAAGTGCAGTCTACTATGTGCTCTAATTTACACACAGCAAGTGCCACTTAATTAAGAAGTGGTTAATAGAGATGTCTTCTTAATTGGGACTTGAACCAATTTTATATAACTTGTGTGTTAACACACCTAGCACCTTTTCACATAATTTGTCTCTTCCTTTGCTCTTGCTTAGTTCAGACACTGTTCACAAAATACCTTTTGGAAATGAATTGCAACCTCTTTTGTCCATGACAAAGTGTTGAAATTATTACTTCTGCTCCTGATTTGCCCTCCCCTAAGATAAAGTTCAGTTTGCTTTTTCGTAATTGCTCAACAGCTGTTAATTACAACAGTTACCTGATTATTACTTATGTGTTTTACTGTTGCTCTCACAATGTTATAGGCATTGTCCCAACAAGAGGATGTAAAGAACTTACTTTCCAAGAAGATAGGTTAGACATGTGAGGGAAAGAGAGAAACCATAAAAAGTTTGGGACTTTGCTACAAGACAGGTGGGATTTTCAAAAGCACTCATGATGGGCCTAACTCTCTTCCCGTTGAAGTCTATGGAAAAACTCAACAGGGACAGAGTTAAGATAGCACTGAATGTTTCTGAAAAATCTCATCCTACCACTTTACCTATTTCTCATCTGTACAACTACCTGTAATCATAGGGCAATTCAAGTGCCTGAAGAAATAAGTTTATTTGTTTTTCATTAATTTTTTTACTGTGTATTTTCCTTCTTTTCTTCTTGATGCATTTGAAACATGTAAACTCCAACTCCTATTACTGGAAACATTATTGGAGAAGTTTTTCTTTCCCCAGATGTCAGTCTTCTAACTGTGTTCTACTGAAATTTTAAAATGAAGTACTACACACCAGAAGCTGGTCTTTCCATGCAGATGCATAACAAGTATTTAAATTATTGTGACTAATGTGGAGATCTTGAAATAGCTTTGACAGATGATTTTCAGAACTGTTTTTTTAATTAGTCCACAGAGGAGAAACTTGCTCTGGCTCAGGAGGAATTAGTTTCAAACAGAAATCAAATTGGTAACCTTAATCAGTTGATCCAAGAACTTAAGACTATAAAGGCTACTCTGGAGCAGGATGCATCAAAGAAAGAACAGCAGCTGAAAGAACAGAACAAAATGTTACAGGAAATCCAGAAAGACAAGGTAACTTACTTTTCCCATTACCTTTCTCCTCTTTCCTGTTTTCTAATGGAAACCTATTTAGAAATATGCCAGAACTTCTCAATGTATTGTGCTAATGCAATGTATACCTGCACTTACAGCAGTTTATTGGACCACTGATACATAAAAGATTTTAAACAAATAGTTGAAATGGCAGAATATATGAAAACAATTTCAGCATAAGTTAAATATCCCCGAGGGGACATGTACTGAACAAAATGAATGTGAAAAGAAAAAACAGATTATTGATTTTAAAGATGAAACTAAATGATAAGGTTTCTCTAAGATCAGACAAAATAATTGTGGCTGGAGATCTGATACAATCATTCTCCCATCAGCAATCTTTGTAATCAAGAGGTTTTTGATAACTGTGAGTCTGGATGAGGTCCCATTTTTCCTTTGATTTTTTTCCCCAAGGTTTTGAAAGAAAAAGATTTGGCTAATGAAAAATCTAAAACAACAGAGCTCCAGGAAATAAAGAGTAAGCTGGAAAAAGATAGTACTAAATTGAGTGAAGAGCTTAGGACCTGCAAGCAAGAATTTGAGAAGGTATGTTGAGACACAAATTGGAACTACAGATAGTAATAAGAATATGCACGAACGTAACACGTTCAGTCAGAGAATCTCAAATTGCTTTGCAATTATGGGTATTACTATCTCCATTTTACACATGAAGGAACTCAAACACAGAGGGATTAAGGCCCATATCTACAAAAGTACTTAGGAGCCTAACTACCACATCAGACACCCAAGTCTAAACTTTAGGCACCACTGAGATCTTCAAAATCTCTGGTCAGCTCCCACCTAACTCTGGAGGTGCCTACATTTTTTCTGTAAAAGTCCCCCAGGTGCCAAAGTTTCTGCCACTAGGTAAGTACATAACACCTCAGTCTAGACTTCCAGGCATCTATTCTCATGGCTAAGCCCCAGCAGAATCTTCAAACCAGGTGAAGATAGATGTCCCCGCCTATCTTGTGGGGCCCAGTCCAGTTGGTGTTCTCAGAGCACTGGGCTATGGGTTATTCTGATGGGGATCAGTGTCTCTTCTTGAAGCTGTTCTACGGAGTATAAATAATTAAATATGCTTTGGGCCAGAGAGTGAGAATGACTCTATAGCCTTGTGGGTAGGGTACTCTCCTGCAATGCAGGAGGCCCAAGTTCAATTTCCCTCTCCATATCAGGCAGAGAGGTTAATTGAACTGGGGTCTACTGTGTACACTAACCACTGGGCTAAAGATTATAAGGGAGGCCTTCCCATCCCATCTGCTCCTTGGCTGTTTTGTGAGGAGCTAGATGTGTGTTGCCATCACTTCTGTAAGAAACAGCTTATGCACCTGACTCCAGGAGTGGGTCCCTGGCTGTGGGTTGCAAGCAGAGATAGGTGTATTTTTCCAGCCCAGACTGAGTCGCCTCACTCCCTGAGAGGGGCAGGGCTAGGACCCACCTTTCTCCTCAGCATCTCCCATTGACTACTTTAGGTGGCTCCCTGTCTAGTGTGCTAGCTTCTGTGGATCCCATTCTTAGATGCCTATCTCTCCCCATGTATTCTATAGGGAGCCTAGGTACCTTAACTAGAGTTTGTAGATTCCACTGAGGTGGCAAGCAGGGCCGGCTCCAGGCACCATCGAAGGAAGCAGATGCTTGGGGCGGCCAATGGAAAGGGCGGCATGTCCGGGTCTTTGGCAGCAATTCGGTGGCGGGTCCCTCACTCCCTCTCGGAGGGAAGGACGTGCCGCTGAATTGCCATCGAAGAATGAAGCAGCGCGGTAGAGCTGCCGCCGAAGTGCTGCCGATCATGGCTTTATCTTTTCTTTTCTTTTTTTTCCCCCCGCTTCGCCACTTGGGGCGGCAAAAAAGCTGGAGCCGGCCCTGGTGGCGAGGGCCTAAAAGTTAGGAGTTGCAATCCCTAAGTCCCTTTGTGGATTAGGCCTAAGTCATTTCTCCATGGTCACACAGCAAGACTGGGTCAGTTGGTTGTGATCCAAGTCTCCTGACTTCAAATTCTGTACTCTAATCTCTAGACCCTGTTGTCTGCTTTTATATAGGTGACTCTAAGAAATTAAATAGCCAGGCTTTCTCCCAGTGTTTTAATAAAAAGTGAACAAGAGGAAAAGTTCTCACTCTGTGTCCCCAAATTCTGAGAAGTGAGGAAATTAAACAGCCTCTTCCAGCCTTACAACAAAACAAGAAAAAAACCAAAATCTCAAAGCAAAACCAACATCTTAGTTTTATTAAGGTACATGTTCTCACTGATAAGGAAAGCCATGTAAAGTGTGAAGTTATCGGGGTGGGGGGATTTTAAGCTGTTTTTGAATGGTTGTATCCAACCTGAACTCTGATTTTTAAAAGCAACACTCCTAATTAAAAAAAAATTGTACATTCATTAAAAATGTACCTACCTGTCACTCTTAAGTGCTTGTAATTTATTGCAACATTAAAATACCAAACCAATATTAGTTAAACCAGTTTTGTTGAAATTACTTTAAAAATCACTCTTGAGGCAAGACTTGTATCTTTTTTAAGGATACTTCACTTTCAAAAAAAAAAAAAGAGAGAGATAGAAAAGGAAGAGAAAAGATTAGAGGATGGAGTTATTTTTTTGTAGTCTTTGTTTGTATTATAAATGCTAGTTACATTTAACATCTCTAAAACTTTTCTGTCTCTTCTGAAATCTGACACTTTTAAAAGACAGCCTGGTTACATTTTCTACATTTAATTACATATTATATTTATTAATAGTAATTTATTTGCTTCTGCTGGCCTCCCCAATGTTGTAGGTGGTTTTGTGAGTATAAAAGAAGACACAGTCCATCCCATAAAGAGCTTACAATCTAATAAAAGTAAATTAATTTTAAAATAGCCTGAATATTCATAAGTTCTATGGAAATACAAAAAAAATATTATGGCTTTCAGATGTTCTTTTGTGATCCAGTGTCTAAAAATGATGGTTACTTCCAGAGAATTCAATGCCCAATGCATTTTGATTTTGGGAACACTAACTATAATTGTCACACACTTCCTGAAACCTCTGTGCTAAAAAAAGAAGGAATTTATAGAGCTGCAGAGAATTTTAAAACATACACAAACTGGGATGTCAGCTTAATATTCACCTCTTGTTCTCTGTGGTTGCAGTCAGACTGAAACCGAAAATATCTCCACTTATGAAATCAAGTATGGCCATATCATCCACCCATGGGTTTGAAAGTAGAAAAAAGACTTTATCCTTGTGATGTTTTGTCTTGACTTTCAGTGGAATGTGTCCTATGAAAAACTATCACCCCATATTCATCAGAATAATACGTTTTTATTGGGCTGTGGATTTAAAGAAGAATGATTCGTGTCAAATTAAGTTATTCCATCTATTTTAGAAGCTATTTCCAGTACAATATGTAGGTAAATATTTACAAACTTAAGACCTGTAGAAACTCTCCCATGCAATAATTGTTTCCAATTGATTAAATAAATAAATAAAAATTCCCTTCTTGCCACCACAGGGTTTGTAACTCTCACCTTTTGACACCTACCTAGTGCAGAAAACCTGACAGTGAAATTTATTAGAATCCAACTTAAAGAAAAGTGAAATTGACAAACCTACTACTTAACAGAAAGCCAGAAAGTAAGCAAACATAATTTCCACTATTTTAATGGAGAAGTAAATTAGAATTTTTTTTTCTGTTTGTAGGAATCTAAGATGTAATTTGTAACCTAGGTAACTAACTTAAACACGGTCAGTTGATATTTTGTGCCGTAAAGGCATTTGCTCTCCTATCCCAGGGAATAGTTATCCTCAGTCTGAAGTTAGTTCACAGATAAGTTTTACCATTTTATTTTTAGATCCTATGTGATCGTTTAAACTTGTATTTTAACAGGAGATGACAAATCTAAAGGATGCGAAGCAGCTATTGATTCAACAGAAATTAGAGCTGCAGGGCAAAGTAGATAACATGAATTTAGCTCTTGAACAGGAGAAGAAGAATCAGCAAATTATCAAAGATCAGCTGAAAAAAAAAGAGGAAGAACTGAAGAAGGAATGTGTTGAGATTGAAACTAAACTGGTGAGCATGTAAAGAATTTATTGTCTTTAGCACGTCTCTGGTTCCTTTCAAAGAGGGAGGGAGGCAGACTTAATTTTAATCTCATGGCATTTACATTTTTAATCAATGATTTGTAAATATTTCCAAAAACCTTCAACGTGAGACAGATTATATTGTAGGAAAACTCAGGTACAATAGGCTAAGCACTATTTTGACAAATAGGTATAAATCCATAGTGGGACCATAAACAGGCATTTGTTTAGTATAATAGCCGTTTATTAATTAAAACTAACTTAGTTTTGAAATTGTAAGTACATGGTTTTTCATTTCTCTGCCTCAGTTGAACAATACTAGAAGGGCAGAATCTAGTTTTCTTTCACTTATAAGGAACATTGTTCCATTAGAAAAAGTGACTCTTTGAAAAGACATGCCCGAATAACTCCCTGCTAGCTGTAAAATATCAAAAATGGTTTTGCAGATGTATCAGAGATAAGTGTTACCATCATTTTAATTTTGATGTGAGTTGATAACACACCAACCTGGTTACAAACTCAGCTATTTGATAGCTCATTGTTCAATGTTTCCTTTTTTCTCAGCGCACAGAGATAAAAGAGAAAGAAGAAGAAAACAGAAAACGTGAGGAGGTGGAAGCCAAGCTCACCATGCAGATCACAGCTCTGAATGAAAATCTCGCTACAATGAAGAAAGAGTGGCAGAGCAGTCAAAGGAGGGTCAGTGAGCTAGAGAAACAGACAGATGATTTGCGTGGGGAGATTGCAGTTTTAGAAGCAACAGTACAAAATAATCAGGATGAGAGGAGAGCATTGCTGGAGAGGTAAGTCAGGGAGTGTAATGTGGGTGTGTGCTTTCGGTTGCTTATTAGGAAAGTGATAAATTAAAATTTGAAAAATAGTGTTTCAGTCTTCCTAGTGTTCTACGTACATTTTGTATGTATTGTACTGCTCCCAGTGCTCCAGGTAGGGGTTTCCAGAGAGTGAAGGCTCCCCTTCATAACCCCAGCAAGTCTTAGTAGGCTGTTCAGTCAACCAGCTAACCAAACAAGAGCCTCCACACCCTGTGGGCTTTGTGATGGAGTGCCCACCTCCTGCAAACTTTGGCAGGCACATCATAAGTTGCTCCTCATGAGACTCAAGATGCTCACCAAGGCCCCTAAACCATGTTGACCTCAAGAGGCTTGTGTCCATCCCCTGCAAGTCCTTAATTGAGCTCTTTTGGAGCCTCTCCAAAGCCATCCTGCACACGTGCAAGCATTAGGAGGGACAGTCAGTAGCCTCCATGAATCTTAGAAGGCCTTGCAGAGGGGACTTCCATAATCTGAGTTGGTTCCTTGGGGCTCCCTCCACTGAGAATCCTCTGTCTCAGAGTCAGAATAGGTTCATCAACTTCCCAGTGATCTAGAACAGACTTGTCATCCCCCTATAATATAAAAGAGGCTTTTGGGCTTTCAAATGTGGCCACCGGTGACCCTTCTAGGACTCAGCATATGGTTGGGCACCTTGTGAACCTCTTAAAGCTTGTAAAGAGGATAGACGTGCTTCTCAGACTCACTAGATGTTCCCCTCTCCTACAGGCCTCTTGGTTTCCCATCCTAGGCTTCTGACCTCTTAAGATCCCTCCTGCTATCTCTACTACATATCTCCTAAACTCTGCAGAAGCAGAGCTCTTTTTCTCCTGATTGCAGGAGGCCTGCAGGAGAAGGGGAGGGGGACTGAATGAGAGCAATGTGCTTGCAGGATTGGAGGACATCCTGAAGTCTGCATGAGGGAAGAACCCACTTGTGAGATGAAGGAAACCTTTTATGAGGGTATCTGTGGGGAAACTCTTCTTCTGACCATCAAGCTTCCTTAACAAATTATGTTTTGAGCTTTAGGTCTGCAAGGAAAAAGGCTAGAGACTTTTTTTAAATAGCTGCTTAAATCTCCAGCAACAGTCCCCGTGCTGTGCTAAACTCATCAGAGCCAGTTTTCTGCAACAGTGTTACAAACACAGAAATGAAAACATTTTTAAAATAGGCTTTAACCAATTACATTTTGTACCTGGGCATTAAATTGTGGCTAAGAAGGGGACCCAGTAAACCAGGGTCTTCTTTGTCTGTT